TATCCCCCCCCCCCCCCCTTATTTTCAGTGTAATACATCCTTCATTCTGTTCTGTATTCAAAGGGTGGGGTAAAGGCCTGGGAAAAAAAATGCAGAGCCCACCCCCTTTGTTCTCTGCTGGACAGAAAATATAGATTTTACTACATTACTGAAAGTCTCATAATGTGAACTGTGCTGGGTTATATTGTGAGTAAGAGCAAAATTCTGTGCGCTGGCTAAACATTACATAATCAACAGTGTTATTCACACTGCCGTGTGTGCTGCATCTGCTGTTGGTCCAAGCATGAATAATTTGTGGCATTAAAATGACTCTACCCTCGTCATACCTTATGTATATATGACCGATTTGTATGCTGTGTGTGAGATTTATAGGAGCAGACACATTGATATGCATCATTATTGTTTAATGCATTTTGATTTTGTCCCACTTCTGATAGAATTACAATTTGTTTCTAACATGATAACTTGAAGGACTTGATGTTGTGATTTACTGGCTGGGGTTATATGTCAACAGTGTCATGTTTGTGTACACACAGTGCCCAGAGTCAATCAATTGCTTGGTGACCCCCTCCCCCCCCCAAAACATTGTATAGCCTTGGCATGCCATCCCTATAGGAATACTGATCTGTTGTGTGTTTGTGTACGTAACACTTATTTATAAACAGTATATGTAAATGTTATAATGACTGCTTCAACCATCCTTCTGCTACTTTCAGTCCAGCCTAAGACAGCCTTTAAAATCTTGTGTTGTGTATGATAGCGATAGAGACCAGATGTCATGGCTTCCGAGAAAAATATAGTAAGTGCAGATCCGTGTTACGGAATCATGTATCTTCATCACATAATGACAGGAAGAGAAAATTGGTTCTCAGGCTGATTGACTAGAGGTGTTTTGCTCCCTCCCCCAAGCTGCTTGGATTCAGGTTTGTGTCCATCCTTGTTGGGTTGGAAATGAGTGCAACTGTATACCACAGATAGAAGGGGGAAACTGGTTGTCCTGGTGACCAAATGTAAGGCCTATCAATCTGCAGTCTAGGAATAGGCTGCTGGATTCCATTTAAACCTAAAATCACAGAGGACATTTGTTTTGGGACACATTTATGTAGTAAGAATGACGTTTTGTTATTATGTGACTATGAATTCCCTCTGTCTGGTTGCATTGTATTCACGCGTGGGTGTATATATCTCAGCTTGACATCATTTTGATTATAATCCAGTTAAGAGCAGGATAAATCCTGTACCGAAAGGGGCACTAATTTAATACGTGTTTTGTATGTGCCCCTAAGGTCAGCTGTTTGATTTCTACTGGGCAACCTGCACATGGGTGTTGTTAATTTCAGATGCCTCTATCAAAAGTTTTAGTAGGATGAGGGCAGATAAAGGAAGAATCGGATCTTTTGCCTGCTTCATAAGTCAAAATATTGTTTCCCAGCTAAGCCTTTCATTTTCCTGTTAGCTTTCAGTGTAATTTAGAAATGAAAATGACCTTTTGCAGCTTGTTCCTTTTGAACTGCTGTGTACATGAGAATAATTTAGGGTATGGTAGGCTTGTGCCTCTAGGAAAAGGTGTCCGCGCCCCCCCTATATCCATGATGCTTTGTGTCTCATATGCCTAAATGCTATGTTTAACTATTGTCAAGTGTTATCAAATTGATATTTCTATTTTCCTAAAAAAAACAATCTTGGCAGGAGATGGGGAAAAGTGTCAACCATTAGATAGTGAAAAGTATTCCATTCCTCCTTTTACACTGTCTGCAATGGGCTACATTTCTAAAAAGCTGTAATTTTGGTGAATGTGATTATCTTTTCTTAAAACAACCATTTTCTTGAGACCTTGGAATATGAAATTTGTGTAGACTTTGCAGTGTAATAGTAATTTTCTTCCTTGTGACTTTACACATTGTTGTGGCTTTAGAGCCTTATAGAAACTCATTATAGCCATATAGAAACTGTCATAACAAACTGCCATGAAGATTTATGGTAGGGAAAGTATATTATTGCCAGTTGCATAGAGCAAATTGTAGAATTGTGGTTATTTTTTCACTTTCATTATTGAAAATGGTGCTGCAACATGTTTCTAAAACATGTGTTACATATACTGGAATCAAGTCTATTTCTACCATTGGTATATTCAGGTCACCAGTCTTCATCCAGCCAGCCCCAACACTGGAAAAAGACACATGGGCCCTGGTTGAGGACAGCAACATTTCATGGTGGTGGCAGTCTGACCCGTGTATTACTTTTTTGTAAGCATATAATAACTTTCCTTTTACACTACATGTTCTGTACACTTTCATTTTGTACAGTTATTAGGAACAATGCAATCATAAATATGTGAGGTGGACTGTGGTAGGTTCATTCACCTATTCACTTAACACCTAAAAAATTAAATCTGATCAGCTGCTGTAGGCAGCGTGACCATTTTATGAGAAAAAAAGGGACCATTTGCAGGATTGACTTGAAACAATTCTAGTATTTGAACTGTACATGTATTCGTACACCTATATATCAAACCTAACAAAGTATTGGAAGAAAGGCATTGGTTTGGTCCAAACTTGGGACTGTCTATCCAGGAAGAGGACAGTTGTGAGCTATGTCCAGGAGGCATTCACACCTCCATCTGTGGAATGCAAAGCTTGCTCAACTGTGTCCTGTGCACTATGATCAGTCGCCTACTAAGTTTACATCTCATGAACTGTACATGTTCACTGCTTTTACATTATCCTATGTGTACAGAAATGTAAAATATACAACTTCAAATGTTGGTGTATTGTAGACATCAGATACTTGTAAACCTGTACCTATTACAGATATACCCAACTAATGCCCAGGCTTGGTAGCAAGCACCTTTTGACATGCTCTTCTGCCAGATCCCCAGTGGAAAGCCTGTTAAATGTAGGTGTGGCAGAACACCCCTGGCTCCAAAATGTGATATTTGGTGCTTGAGAGACCAGTTGCTAGGCATATATGTATTTGAGCCTGTTTAGACCTGGGTAGTTTTAGAAAGTCCATAGTCACATAAGATTTCATGAGTATATGGCAGTGGGGAAGCAGTGTATTAACAACCAAAATTTTATTTTAGTTTTTGATTGCAACGGGAAGTGAGAGGAAATCTCCCCAAAGGGAGAGCAATTCTTATAATTTGTCTCCATTGTAAGATTTCCCCTTGCTCTCATGACAACTTTAAAATGTTGGATTTCTGCTCACCTTCTGTTTCAGTGACAGTGGTCACCAGGACAAATACGGTGGATGATCAGTGGGATGCAAAAAAAAGCCAGGTCTTTACATACACCTTAAACACAAGAATCTCCAGGTGCCTGCTTCCAAGTTTTGTCATGAGTTGGTTAAACGCCAACTCATAAAGTACAGGTTTACTTTAAAAAAAATAACTATACTTTTAACTGTTAACCCCAGCTGTGTACACATTCAAGTAATAGCCAACATTACAGAATTTATATGGAAGAGGGCCCTGGCATAAGAGCTATGCTGGCTGGGTAGCACTCCTGTCCTGTATCGGCAGTCTGCATGGTACTACGTATGTGGAATTCTTCTCAATAGGCCCTAGTGGAGAAGCCATTTATCTGGAAACATGCAAGATGACAGATTCTCAATTCTTTCCAATGGAGAAAAGATGTGCATGTGCAGTACTGCGCAGCTCACTGAAGCACAGAACTGGCCAGTACAGGCTGTGGTTTTTAGTTCTGCTGATCATTTGCTAATTTGAGGTCTGAAAAAGGGACTATTACTGCTATGGGGAGAGCTGTGTGGGCAGAATAAAGGTATCGGGGCACTTTTTATTTAAATTTTTGAAAGGTTATAAATTGGTTTTCTAGTTATATATTATCTCTGTATTCCAATGAACAGTATAAGGTGCATCTTTAACATTGTTGTCACAAATCATTATTTTTCAGAAGCTGTTTGATTTTATATTCTCTCTTTGACACTCCATTTGGCACCTCTGAGCAAGGCAGGCAAAAAAGGATGTGTCAATTGTGTGCAAACTTACTTTATTTGCTCTGGTGACTTCACTACTTTTTTAGCTGCACTGCAATGCATGGTATTGCGATATCGTCTGTTGCGGTGCAATTGGAAGTGTGCTTGGGGTGCCATTCAAATGAATAGCAACACACCACCTGCACTGTAACGCACGGTAGCGTGTGTTAATAGCACATAACCGCACTATTAATGCAAGGCTA